GGAAACAGAGCAGCCCCGTGTTTGCATAACAGACAGGGTACAGGGGGCCACCGCCCTTACAGCCCCCTCCCTCTGCGACAGCCACTGCTTGCTCATAACACCCAGTCAGGGACTGAGCAACAGCTTGGCTTGAAAGGCAGGGCTGGCTGGGGGGCTCCTGTTCACCCTGCTTCACCCTTCAGCTGCAAGAACCCGGAATGGGGTGGTGAGGAAGGATGGATCCTGCCAGCCCCAGCTCTGAACATCTCCACCCCAGCGTTGTCCCGCACCACCTGTGTGTGATGCACCTGCCCTCCCTCTCCGTGTGGGGATGTGGGAGGCATGTGGGCTGGGGGGAGTTTCCAGACACCCTCTTTCCCCCCTGCTCCTCCCTCTCTGCTCTATAAGGATACACTTGCTCTGCCTCAGTTTCTCCGTTCAAAAGCACAGCCAAGGTGGGTGCTCCCAAGGGCTCCTTCACCCTGTTTTGGCCACGGTGTGGGGCAGGGGGGGTGGCAGGATGCCAGTGTGCAAACACCTTCCCCAGGTGCTGCCTCGCTCTGTGCCTGCTGTGGCACCCCCTTATCAGCCCCTGCCCGGGTACGTGGCGGCACTGCCGTGGTCTGGCATCTCCCTGGTGCCATCCAGTACCTGCCACACTGGCAGGAGCAGGCAGGGAACAGCGAGGCAGGCATGGGCACCCACTCCCCACACCGGGTTAACTCAGCCCTGGGGACATGGGATTTGGCCCTGCCCCATGGAAGGTGTGGGAGGAAGCTGCCAGAAAATAGCCTTGTCTTTCCTGGATGGGCGAGTCCCAGTTCTACCATAAACTGATGTCACCGCATGGGTGGCATCGGGGCTTCTACGCCTCTTTTCCCTCTCCAAGGATGCAGGAGCTGCCAGGAAGCCCTTCCTGGAGGAGTTATAGTGCCCAGGAACCAGTTGGCACAGAGCTGGGCACACCTAGTGCTGTCCTCTTCTGCCCCCTGTTTCTGGGATGCTTTGCAGAGGTGGCTCCTGGCACACACCCTCTCACCATCACCCCTGTGGGGTGGAGCAGGATCGGGGCGATGCCCGGCCAGCTGCTGGCTTCCACCTTTGCAACTCTTCCTAGCCATGGGGTTTCCGTGGGGCAGAAGAAGCAGTTTCTGTGGCACTGAGTTTTGTAAATAACCCTGCACCCACTGGCTTGGCTCCTCCCCTCCGCCTGCTGGGAAAACTTGAAGGACCAGTTTCTCCTCGCGGATGCGATTCCTCCCAATTGCCGTTCGCGGTTCTTGGCTGCCCTGGCAGCCAAAATCAGAGCAGTGGGGGGTAAACCGGACTGGCACAGCCTCCTGTGCTCCCACTGTGCCCCTGCCCTCCGTGCCCAAGCACGGCCACAGCTTTTGGGCTCTCCAAGGAGATCCCGTTCCAGCTGCTTCCCCACAAGCCCCGTGGCACATCCCAGCCCACCACCCACCCCCACCAGCTCATGTGGGCTCCACCAGGTACCCCTGCACCTTTTATATCCCTTAGACTCGCCCAATTCTCCCAGACTGGCACTCTGGGGCAATCAGAAACTGAGAGCACAATGCCGAAAGGTCCCTGAGGGCTTGTGGTGGCAAACAGAAACTTCCTTATTGCCCCGGGAAGACAGCAGGAGATGGCTCGAGCACCTGGCACATCTGGGTGTGTGCCAAAGTGGGGGTTCTTCTTTTCCACCTGGGATACAGGGTGAGGGAAGGCCTGAGGGCACTCTCCCTGCAGGGGTGTCGGGCAAGCAGCCAGTGCCATGATGGGAGCCGCACACAGACCAAAATTCCCGGAGGTTTGTAGGGTGCACTCTCCATCAGCATCACTTGCCCCGGGGCACCGCAGGCGAAACCCTGTGTGGTGCAGGCGTCTGTGCTGGCAGGGAGTGGGCACTGATCGGCAATTTAGGAAAGGAGCCGCCCCCTCCTTCCTGGGAATTAGCGTTGATGGGAACAGGAACATGAAAAGAAGGAGGAACTGCACCTCTTTGGGTTTGTGCTGAAAAAGGGGGTAAATAAGAAGCAAAAGCAAACTCATCCAGCATCAGCTGCCCAAGGAGTGCCTGCTGTGGGGAATTTCCCCTGCCTGCTGTAACAGCTGGGTCAGGATGTTCCCAGACTCGGGAGAAGAGGGTATCCTTGAAGGGACAGGGTGGTCTAGGGAGAGAAGTGAGTCAATGCACACTTTCCCTGGCACAGACTGCCTGCTTGACTCCCCTTCTCCTCTTTCTCAGAGATAAACCATCCTGAGCACCAGCCTAACCCCACCAGTGCTTTCAAGGCAGCTCCCTGCCCTAATTATTTTGTTGGGCTATCAGAGGAGGCGATGCAAGGCTATTCAAAAGGCAGCAGGCTGGAGCTGACATTGCACCTGGCGTGTTAATCATTAATGCCGCACTGGGCAGGAACGCCACAATAACTGGCACAGCAATCCTGGATAGTCAGTTGAAGATTAATTTGCCACCTACGTTAGATGTGCCACAGGAGGTGGCAGCCCTGTGTCTGCCGGCACAGGGATGGGATGGGCTGGGTGCAGGGAAAGGACCCCCCTCACAGCCGGCAACAAAGGGAGAAGCCAAGCAGAGCCCCATCCTGGGAGCAGTTTGGGCACCTCGGCACTTATGAATTTTTATTCATAAATGCTTTTGGTGTTTATGACTTTTTATGAAGCAGAGGGTGCTGAAAATTTAGGATCAGTTCCCTGGGCTGGGATGCAAGTGGCTGGACAGGGCATCACTGACTCCCTCCCATGCAGGGAAGGAGATGGGGCCAGCACACAGAGCATCCTTCTGCTGCTGAGATCTCTCCATTCAAGAGGACTGGGTGTGTTATGCCAGAGGACTCTTTTCTCCATCTGTGGGGCACAGAGTAACCCATGTGCCATGGGAAGTGTCAGCCTGGACCTTGTCTCCCACATACCAGCCCGTCATCGGAGTACAGGGACTTCCTGTTCCCCTAGCACAGAGATCTCCAACAAAAAACTATAACGCATAAAAGTAAACACCACCAGAAATTATGCAAAATTCCCCACCCCCTACAGGCTCTGGAAAGGTCAAGTTTCATGCCAACGCTATTTTGCTTTTGTTTAATTATCAGCCAGCTCCTGGGAGGTGGAGCAGCCTGGACAGGTTCTCCTTTGTACGGCTGCACAAAGCCAGGGAGGCCGGGCCGGGGGTGCTGCACGGGCTGGGTGAGAACTGCGGCTCGGGCAGCACGTGCTACAGCTGCTGCCACATGGGGCTGAGCTCTGCCACCACTGGATTGGACTTCCAGGACAGGCAGGAGAGGGAACAGTTGCCCAGCCAGCTCCTGGGACAGTGGTGAATGCTCCAGCACCAGCAGGATGCAGCAGGCAGTGAGCGAGACCCCCCAAAAGGGCAGGATGATGAGCGAGGACTCATCTAATGAGCATCCCAGGGACTGAAACCCCTGGGTACTGAACCCTGGCAGCACCAGCACCTGGGGGTCACAAGCTGAGGCTGTCCACCAGCCTGGCACAGCTTCTCTCCTTCAAGGGGTTAACTTGCTTCTACTGTCATCCCTGTTTCAGGAGGGGAGGCTCCTATAAACGCATCAGTTTGCACACACTGACTCCCTGAGGTGGCCACGACATGGAGGCTGTGGGACCTGAGCCCACATCACCCTGCAGGGCTCTGCCCCTGGCACTCAGATTCAACAGATGGATCCTCCTCTTGCCCATGGAGCCCTGGCAGAGGCTTGGTGCTGCAGGGTTTGGCTCGCCAGGAGGTGAGAGCCCCTCACCAAGCCCCTGGGACTATGTAAAAAACTTCTGCTAAGGGGTCACCCTGCCAGAAAGCTGTGCTTGGTCCTGGGGAAGGGCTGTCAGCCCAGCCTGGCTGCAGGGATCAGGCAGGGGAGCAGGAGGCAGCAGGCTGGGGCTGCAGGTTGCAGCTGGTCCATGCTGGTGGCTGACACTCTCCCAACTACCACTTTATTTCAGTCGTCTCTGCCCCAGAAATGGGTGCATCTCCAGCCCTCAGGGTTCCCTGCTCCACATAGGCAGAAATTTGGGATGGTCAAGAGGGTGACAAGGCTGTATTTCTCAGGACACAGCAGCTGAAGGTGCCAGGAGGAAGACGGGGGAGAGTTACCAGGCAGCTTGTCAGAGTTTCCATCACTTGCTGAGCTGAAGATAAAAGTGATAAAGCTTGAGGAGGAAACAGCTCACAAACCTGTGCCAGCCCTGCTGGCACTGCATAGCACCACACAGAGGACCTCTGCTGGCACAGGCCTGGGGCCACCGTTAGCCCACGGCCAGGCCTGTGCAGCCTGGGCAGAGTAAGACACCAGAGGACAGGGGTCTGTCCTTTCCAGGCAGGACCCCAGAGCAGGGACCCCGGCCCTGTACCCTGCACAGGGCCAACTATGAAACACACAAGGCTCAACAGCTTTGCAATGTTTACTCTTGAAAAAATAATTCAATTCAGAAAGCGTCAAACCCTGATGATGCCACACGCCCAGCCCTGCCATGGCTGCCACTCTGGAGCCTAGCTGGGGGGACAGGGAGGGACAGAGAACAGCACCCTGTGGGCCTGGCCTGGTGTGTGGAGAAGGGGGAGCCTAAAGCCCACCAGTTGAGTCCTGCTGTCACTGAGAGCAGGGAGCCACAGAGCCCTGGTTGGCAGGGGAGGAGAGAGGAACTCATGTTTAGCCATTCCCTATCCCTAGGATCACCTTCCCCAGCCCCAAGAGGAGCTGGGAAGAAGCCAAGCCTGAGCCCTAGCAGAGAAGGGAGAGAGGATGCATTTAGTTTTAAGGGGAAAAGAAACGGAGCCTTGGAAACAGAGGTGCCAAGGAAGAGCAATGGAGAGCCATTTGGAAGTTCTTCCAAAGTAGGCCACGGGGAGCAAGCTACTTTTCCTCAGAAAGAAGTCCCTTTTCCACCCTCATAAAAGATGTGCCTTACCCTGAGGGCCAGCACAGGGGCCACCTGCCCACTGGCTGCCAGAGCAGAGTCCCACGGAAGGGCAACACTGCGGGTGGCTGGGGAGGGCAGGGCTGAGCCCCAGACTGGTACTGCAGCCTCAAGGGTGCCACTGCACGTTCTGGTTCCCCTCCTGCATCCATCCCATCCCATCCCTGCTGCTGGGGCAGGCATGCAAGGGACTGTGAGGGTCAGAGTCCCCACAGCCATGCTAGGGCTGTGCTGCATCCACACTGGGATCATCTTGGCCAAGAGGAGTTTCCTGGTTCACAAGTTTTCATTCCTATTCTGGGCAAGGGAGGAAAGCAGGGAACAGAGGGTATAGCCAGGGGGACAAGAGACAAACCTCCCATGACTGTTCCTGTGCAGGCTGGGGGCTGCCAGCCCTCCATGCTGCTTCCTGTTATCCGCCCCTTCCCAGGAACAATAAATAAATAAGTTAGTGTAGTGTATACCCCGATGCTCAGTTCACAGTGAGAAAATGAAGGGGAAGAGCCCCTGTTACCTCAGGGAAAGGGCAGAGCAGAGAATGGATCTCTAGCTGCATGGATGAGAGGAGGAGCTGTACTGAGCAAGGGGCCCAGGACTGACCCCTGGGTGCAGGGACACTAGTACCAAATGGCTGGGGGTGGGAGGGGGCCCTGGGATCCTTCCTAAGGCACGGAATCCACTACCTCTCCCTCTGCATGAGGGATGTACCACAACGGGACGGCCAAGCTGCCCGTCCCAGACCAGCTCATACCTTCCCTGCCAGAAACTAAGGGTGGGGATTCAGGAGAAAAAACTCCCCCTGCCTTCAGCAAAAGCAGAGGATACCAGGGCAGGGAAGATGGAGACAGGGTACAGTACCACAGGAAAGGACCATAGTGCACCATCTCTCACTCCAGATGACCCTGGCTCACCCTGCCCCTACACCCAGCGGATGATACCTGCTGGCTGCTCTCATCTCGCTCTGCAAGGCACTTTCACCCCCTCTCCCATGACCCAGGGGCAGGGCTGCTCCCCACAGAGAAGGTGGGTGAGGACAGCCTGAGCCAGAGCACACAGCCTGGTCCACTTCCACCTACAATCACCTCCAGCTTCCAGAACTGACCGTCCTCATGCTGGGTGGGGGGTGTCCCCTCCGTGTCTGCAGCAAGTCCAGCTCCTCTCCAGCATTCCCTTTCCTGTGAGCTGGGCTGCACCAGTACCTGCAGCCCACGGAGCAGAGCCAGTGTGCAGGAAGGTCCAATCCAGCACACAGTCTTCAAGGTGCATCCATCATGCAGGTAACAGGAGAGATGCTGGAATATCCCCACTTCAGCACTGTGTTCACCATGGGGCACAAAGCCAGCAGGCAAGAATTAATAAATAACACCCAGCTGGCAGGCTGCAGCACTCACACCATGCTGCTTTCTCAGGACTTCAGGGCCAAAAAGGAGAGCAGAGGTGTTTTTTGAGGCCCCCTCTAGCCTCCAGTTGAGCATCTCCTTCCTCCAGCCTTGCCCAGCCAGGGGGCAAAAGGAGCAGCGTTAGTAGAGTGTCTGTGTTAAAAAAAACAAGTTCATGGGATGGGGTGGCATATCTACAGGGAAGGACCCTGTCCTGTGCAAGGGAAAGGGAGACCACAACAGGGGGCTGGAGGGAGCCCAACATCTGCTTTTGCAGCCCAAAACAGGATTCTGTATCCAGTCACCAGCCTCCGAGAGCTGCTGCCAACTCTGTCTCTGCACCGTGGGGGTCTCTGTGCTCCCCCGGTCCCCTCTGCTTCCAGCTGCCAGCCTCACGTCTGCTCTGCTGCTGCAACCGCTGGCACTGCCCCCGCCCCCTCCTCCTTGGCAGGGGGCTCCATGTAGATTGGTGTCACCGACGAGGGCTTCTTGGACCTGCAGGTGAGGGGGCTGGATGGGAGCAGGCATAGCTGATGGTTCCCCTCAGGACCCCAATGGCATGATCTCCTTCCCACTGGGACATCCTCCAACCCTGGGAACCCTCCCGTCCCTCCTTCCACCACACTGGTTAAGGAGTGAAGGTGGTGTCCCCCGAGGATTGGGCTGGGACAGAAGTGGGTGCTGGTGTGTGCCAGGCAGGGGACAGTGCCGTAAGGATGGGGCATTGCTCAGCCCTTCGTGTCCCTGATACTCACGAGTAGGGGGAGGCAGGGACCCCCACCACAAGGAAGTGGTTCTTCTTGCGGAAGAGCCGCCACAGCCCCTTGTGGTTCCCGCGGACGTCCAGGTCCCAGATGTGGAGGCACTAGGATGGTGGGGAGGGAGGAAAAGGCATCAGAGCCTGGGGATGGACATCAGGGCCAGGTGTCCCCTGGCATGGGAAGAACAGCAATGCCTGCCCTCACTGAGGCACAGCAGAGAAGGCTGCACCCCAAGCCTGGGGTGGCACAGGGCTGCAACCCTCCAGCCACACCAAGAGCTTCAACATCCCCTAGGGACAGCAAGAACCCGTTTGGTGAGCTGTGTCAATGCCATGGGAAAACCCAAGAACAACAGCCAGGTGTTTCTCAGCGACACAGAGACCGGTGCAGGGCTGAGGACAGGCCATGTCTGGGCCCTCACCTTGGCAAGTTGAGTCCAGGTGGTGAAATCCGCTTCCTGCTCCATCCTGATGAACATGACGTAGACCCTGCCCTCAGTGTCGGGCACGAAGGAGTCCTCACAGGGGTTCTTGCTGTGGTCCAAGACCTCAGCCTCACTGTGGGAATAGAAAAAAGGGTGAGAGGGGACCCCATCTTCTCCCTTTTCCCACTGCAGAGTACTTCCGATGTGCAAGACATTGCTGGGGCCACCAGGGCCACCTCCACCCTTCCTTCTGTTCTGGTTGGTTCACCCAGTGTGTCTTGTGGTCTCTCAGCCTTCCAGCAGGCACTCACCCCAGGAGCCGATGAATTTCAGTCTCGTAGTTATCCTTCCTCAAGCTGTTGGAGGAGGAGAGAACACGGAGATCAGGGGACAGTCAGACAGTTTGATCCAAATTTAGGACTGCCCCAGTGTAACACTAAAGACAGCTGGAACCAGTAAATGGAGAGCAGGGACTGACACACATTCTTGAGATGTGGCAGCAAAACCATGACCCTTCAACATGTCCCCCTGAAGCACAGGGTAGCCAAACCCAGCCTTGCAAAAACCACTGCCAGGACTCCCCAGCAGAGGCCAGTGTGCTGATGCAGGAGGTTATGGCCACTCCAGATGGGAGATGACTCCAGCAAAAGGAGACAAGGGTCAGACCAAGCAACTGTTTCATCAAGGGCTCATTGTGATTAGCACTTACCTCTCCACATTTTTAAGCTGGACATTTGGAACTGTGTTGAACTTGTGCTTCTTGAAATAGGCTTCCTGGGAGAGAGAGGGCAGGGAAGGAAAACCAGGTTTGATCATGGGTCAGCAATACCTGGAGATGACCTCAAGCATCCCCACTACCTGGGGAGGTGTCTGAGTCAGAGCTCAGCACCAGGACAGCGCTTGGGGGCTGCGGGAGGTCACTCACGTGGAAGTAGCCATTCATGTTGAGCCCCACGATGCCGAAGTGGTATGAGCGCGAGATGTCCGGGATGATGCACTCCCGACCCTTCCGCTGCTCAGGCATCCGCATCCACATGTCCCAGTCCCAGAGCTGGGGAGGGGAAACTGCTACTCACACTCAACTCTGGGGACAGGCTTTGGCAATGTGGCTGTCCAGGGACCTTTCTGGGTGCCCACACCAGGTCAAGCCCCTTTGGCCCCAGCTCTGTGGATGGTTATGTGCCTCCTCAAGTCACTGTCTGTCCCAAATCCATTCTGCTTGGGCAGAATCCTTCCCAGTATAAGCACAGGGATAGCCTATCCAGGAGCTGGACACCCAGGAATTGGGTGAAGATCAGGGATTGCTGATGGGCAGAGATGGGGGCGTAGAAGAAAGGATCCTTCCAAGGTACTTACCTTCTCAGGGGTTGGCCACTTTGGCTCCAGCTCGTCCTTGTACAGGCTCTTCCGGAGCACCCATCCCAGGCCTGGCATGGTTTCCACACGGTACAGGAGTGAGGGGTCCTCAGCTGTGTGCTCATAGCCCTGCAGGGTTATGGGGAGTGCTCAGCACACTGAATGCAACTGCCCCCCACCAAAAAAAGGCAGGCATTGTGCTCCATTGAGTTTCTTATCATGGCAAGAAGGGAACATCCACTGGGAAGCACATGGCAGCGACAGGAGGGTGATTTGCAGAGGCACTTCTGAAGAGTCCAGGGCTGGGGAGACAGACTCACTTAGGATGACAGTGGGGACACACACTTGGTTTCAAAGATGGAACCTGGACCCGTCTGACATGGAAACAACACAGGGCAGAGGTGGCCCTGCTCCACCATCCTTCCCTGACCCACCTGGTCATTCCAAGCAGAGATGCAGTACAGGCTCTCATCCTCCTCCAGAAGGTGTATTGACTGGCTCAGAAAGCTGAGGAAAGAGTTGACCCTAGTCAAACACCCTTCTACCATGCAAACCAAGGTAAACCCTCCACCAAGAATGAGCCACCCCCAACTGCTGGAACCACTTATCCCAGTTTTTGGCCTGAGATAGCTGATGCTGCTGGGAGAGCAGGGGAGGAGCATCCAAACAAACTAAGCTGCATCTCACCATGGGGAAAGGACAGCACTGTCTCCTGCCCATCAGTCTCTTTTCCTTAAGAGGAAACAGGAGCCTCATTAGACACTGCCCCTGTCCTCTGGCTATGGGGCAGCTCCAACCATGTGAATGGATCAGTGTCCCCAAAAAGCCAACCAGGAAGTGATCTCCAACCTTGAAGACACCCTGCACTGATTGCCAGGACAGTGGCCTCAGACTCTGAAGGCAGATCTCAGTTATGGCTTTTGCCTGGGGTCTGCTCAGCCTCAGGTAAGTGAGCTACAGCAGGCAGGGATCTGGCCTCCCCTGAGCATCCAGAGAGCTTCCAGGAAATGATCCCACACAGGAACCCCCAACTTTACCTGAAGAAGTCAACAGAAATGTCAAGGTCTTCCTCCAGAACCACAGCAAATTTAGCATCCTGTAGGGCAAGGAGAACATCAGAAGGATGGAGATGAACAGGACAGAGCAAAGACACAAGCAGTGTGCTGTGTCTGTGCAGTTCCTTGCCCTGGAGGACTAATCCCAGCTCCTGTGGGACTGGGATCACAAATGCCAGGGGAAGGCTGTACTGTAGCAGTCTCACTCACCGGGAACAGATTGAAGGTTGCAGTCAGACTGGCTTTGTAGTGCTACAAGAAAAGACAATCATTGCCTGTGTTAGCATCAGCCTGGCACACAGATCTGGGGCTAAGCCTGCCTCCCTCAAATGCTATCCGAGGTCCCTGGAAATAACTGTCTCAGGGTTTGGAAAGCCCTCTCACCTGGGAAACTCTGGCATTTTTAATGCTGATGGGAGTGTGCTGTATTCCTGAGAGGCCAAACAGCTCCACGACATCCATCGGCTCCTGCGAGGGAAAAGTACAAAGCTCATCAAATGTGTGGGTCATTCTCCTCTCCCCTGCCAGTGTCAGCTCCCCAGGCCAAGAGGAACATCCCCTGCATGTGGCTGTCTTCTTAGAGACTAGTGAGGCTCAATATAGACCCTGCAGCACAGAACTTGCCAAACCCTCGTGGCCCTTCAATACCACCATGACTTTGTTAGCTCATTTTGCAGACCCAAAGTTGTGTCCAAGAATATGTGAGAGGTCCCAGATACTCAGCCCTCCAAAGACAGTGCAGAAAGAAAACAGGTATAGCCAGGACCACCTAGCAGCTGCTTAATGGCAAGACCACAATCAACTCAATTTTCTCTCATGGCTGCCAAGAGAAGGACCTTTCTGACCAAGTACAGGGGTCAGAAGTAATCCAAATTTGGGCTGACATATCTCTGCCCCAAGAAGGAGCCACCAATGTCTTCTCCATGCCCTTACTGTATATCCCACCTCCTAGCCACAAAAAAGAGAAGGAGCTCCCATTGTACCAACCCTTCTCCCTTTCCCTGGTATCCACCATGGCGGCTCGAGCATCCAGGCTGCCCCCTCGTAGCTAAGGGATGCTGCTCCAGTTGCCATGGCAATGGATGCTGCTATCTTTAACTGCTCTGATGTGGTGCAGCAAGAGCCTGCATAAACAAGCCAGCTCCCCCAGCCCCACAGTGTGGCAGTGGTGGGAGAGACCTGCAAGGGAACAGTTGTCTCCATCCCAGGGCAACCTCACTGGATGCTGCAGAGATAAGGCCTAGCTCCTGAGATCTACTAAGACCTCACATGCCTGTCCCAGAGTACATTCCATTGCCAGAGAAACAGGGCTTTCAGTGGGACCCTCCAGGGCTATACAAGGTTGAGTGAGAGGAAGGTCTTTGCCTCTAAAGGGCCAGTTCTCCTTCACCTGACCCCAGCTTTCAGGAACCCCAAGCTTTGAGCCTTAGGAAAACATACTGCGTCTCTTCACCTCTTTCTGAGAATGGAGCTGGACAGGCATGGCTGGACTGGTTTGTTCCTCTCCATGTGAAGCAACTGGACAAGTGGTGTTACACCCTGAGCGTGCTCAAGGGGCTGGCAATGCTCATCAAGTGAGAAAAAGGGATGGGGAGAGCCCAGCATAACCACCATGTGCCATTCCTGCACACCAACCCCACTCCTGACATGGCCAGCCTTGGGCTTTGGGAAAGGCCAAGGCAGCTTTATCCACACCCATGGCTTGGGTGATTTTGGCTGACTTTGTGTAGGAGCAGATGAGGAGCAGTGTGACACACAGCAGGAGGAAGGTGACGAGGCTCTCAACTTGCCACCCTCCAAGGACTGGGCCAGCACCGGGCTGGGGGAGCATATAGCTGGCCACAGGGATCTCTGGCAATGTCCTCACCTCGTAGTACCCATCGATGAAGACTGTGATCATCTGTGGATTGACGCCCTGCGCCGACAGCAAGGAACGCAGCATCCTGAGGAGAGACGGAGGGGCCTGAGCGCAGCACAGCCCCAGTGGGCACAGGCCCTGCAGCACAGGGGTATGGATCCCTTGGGATGGGGGAAAGTCTGCATGATTAGGGGAACAGGACCCACCTACACCTTCCCTTTCCCTCCCCCAGGGTCTGCCCTTGGTGCTCATGCAACTCCAGGAGGAGGCTGGATCCTGCCAGCAGGAGAAAGGGAAGGGCCTGGGCCATGCCTGGTCTTGTGGCACGGAGCAGAGGAGCCATGCCCTCTGGGAGCGCTTACCTGTACAGGTAGTTGGGGCGGTTCCCTGCAATGACAGCTACTGGCACGTCAAAGACTTTATTGTCTTTGAGCTGGAAGAGAACAACGTGTGTGAGTGAGGGTGGGAGAGGCCATGCAAACTAAAATGATGCTATGCTTTTACACCACTGAGAGGAGGACCCAAGGGGTAGGGACCACTGTTAGGACAGCAGAGCTGCATAGTCCTACCTCTTGGCTCAGGGCCACACCAACCAACCAGGATGCCCTCAGCACTACTGGAGACCCTGCCAGCTTCCCTTCTCCACCTCACCTCACCTCTGACCCAGCTCCAAAATCCCACTTTGCATTCACTCAGAGACCTGTGTCTTAACCCTTCAGCACCGTGCCAAGGACAAGTCCAAAAGTCACAATAGCTGCTCTGTCTCTAGATGTTCAGGCTCTACTGCTTACACTGATATCCCTAGAATAGGGTAACTATTCCTGGCAACTCAGAGCAAAGGAATTCCCCTGCCCCAGCATGACCTGCCCCCAAGTATTCACCTCACCTTTGCTGGGGCCAAGGGCTTGCCCAGGGGCAGTTTGCATCACTCAGCTGGTGCTTAAGGACAGTGCTCTGCATCAGTTGCAAAACACACCTGGTCCAGCCCAGCCCTCTCTCCTGGAGCCTCCCTGAACACTCTGCCCCTGCACTCACGGGATCAGGGTTGAACTCGATGGGTGTGGGGTCTTTGCAGCTGCAGACGCTGCCATAACCTTCCACTTTGCTGCAGAACCTCTTGCGGCGCCGGTTCAGCTCCGTGTCGGGCCAATGGCACTCAGCATCTGGAGTGCAAGGAGCAAAAACAGACCTGTCACCCCCACAGACCCACCCTGAGTGCTCCAGGCTGGGATACCACACACATGGCTCTCCCTGGGCTGAGCCAGCAAGCCAGTCCTCAGCAATGAACAAGGAACACTCTGGATGCCAGATCCATGGATCATGGATCCCAGGAGCCATGCAGAGCCCAACCCCACCTCTGGCCTCTCTGAGCAGCAGTGGGTTGTCCAAGGCCAACAGTCAAAAAACAGACCAGGTCTGATCTGGAGAGGTGGCAATTGGCAATGTTCCCTCTTCTCCATCTTCACCTTTCTCAACAACCATGCCAGGAATTGCCATGGAAGCAGGAAGAAAGGGAGCTAAGCCCATTTTAGAAGTTACCATCATCATCATCTCAAAAAGCCTTAAATCCAGGCCCATGACTTAAAATCAGGCAGCATGGAGATGTCTCCCAGAAAAACCACAGAGCAGACTGTACTTCCTACCTTCCACAGATGTCAGGTGAACTTCTGTCTTCAGCAGAACGGGATCACCCCATGTCGAGAGGGCAGGTGACTTGGCATGCTTCTCCCCATACACTTCTCCTGGAGCAGGAACACAGGGTCAGGACTGCCTGGAAGGGCCCAGCCCCATTTTGTCAAGGCATGACCAGGGGCTGTCAGCCTGAGGGACAGCTTGACACCTTTTCCCATTGGCCTGTGGCAAACTGGTGAAGGAACATGCTCTGCCTCCATACCTTCCCTCACCCCCAGGAATGGAGTTGCCACTCTCTGTGACTTGCTCCCTGCTCATAGAGCCTGTTGGGGATGGGCTGGGTTTGTCCTTACCTGGTTTCTCCCAAAGAAAGGAGCCACAAAACCTCTCCCAGCCTGTGCAAAACTCACCCCCCTTCTTCCCCACAAATGTCCACATGTCTCTCCAGCTCAGGAATGGTGCAACTTGGCTCCCCAGGCTTTTCAGGACATTCTTGGCTGTCTCCTTGAGGTGAAAGGAGCCTTCGTCCTGGAACAAAACACAACCCTGCAGATGAGGTCTGGCTCCTGACAGGGTAAAGTCTCCCATCAATACTGAAGGGGTACAGGGCCCACTCCTACCCTTGAACCAGTTAAGCCAGAAACCTTCAGGGCCTATGTGACACTAAAGCTGTCAGTGGCTTTGTGATGACCCACAGGGTCATCAGGGGAATCATGAACTCCTGTTTCCTTGCTGTTTTCAAGCAGGGCCATGTGTTAAGTAACACTTCAGACAGCTAAACGTGATACCTTGAAGCAGCACAGTGCTTGCACAGCAGCCCAGATCTAGCACAGTCCACAGGGCCCTTGTAAAGCCTGGAACTGGGAGCCAGAAGGATCCCACCACATCCTCGTATTTCCTCACGTCCATTCTCCACCTAACCCCTTGTCTATTGCTGTGGGCTCTGACACATCTACTTTTTGCTCTCCTGCTTTGCTGGGCACAGCAGTACCTGCAGCAAGAAGGGAGAGCAAGAGGACAAGGGAGGTGATCCAGCCAGGGAGTCACAGCCCCATGGGGATGTGACATTTAATCCTGGGAATGCCTGATGACATTCAGGAGGCTACTGCCCAGATGAGCTTCAGGACATCCCGACTCAAGATGACTTTTTTTGATATTAGGGTCACGTACCTTAATGGTAAATATCAGGATCCGGCCCCGGGCAACCATGTTGAGGAAAAGTACCATGGCTTCATCTTCATGGGGGGAATAGGTGTCAAAGACCCTCTTGGCCATCACGTGACCCTGTTGGTATTCATACGTCAGTTGGATCTTAAATACTACATGGTATGGACACATAGAATTATGGAAATCTGCCCTGGAAGCCTCATTCCCTGAGCAACACAGGGAGTGGCTTTTCCGGTATGCCAGGGAGTTAGTCCCCAGAGTTAGCTCCCAGGCAAGTTCAGCCCTCAGGCCTTTCTGCAGGGAGGTTCATGGGAAGCATCACCCAACCTCACAACTCCTCCCCTGCCCACTCCCCGAGAACAGCAGGCAGCACAAGCAAACCCTGCAGGGACTCTCTAGGTGACCGTGCCATGCTCTGCAAACTGCACACAAAAAGCAATCAGGGACTTCCCTCCTGGCTGCCCCTGGCCTCAGGTACCCAACAGTTCAGGAGCAAGGACAAACTGCCCAGTAGACATGGGGATGTTTTACCGTGGCCTGATTTAAGACGATGACATGGATCCCTCTTCCCTGCTCCCGAGCCTCATCTTCCAGGACCTGCAAGTGGATAAATTATGAGAATCATATGCCAAGACTTCTTATTCCCTGCCCGTTCTGCACAGCAGAGCCCCCAGACAAGAGGCAAATCTCTTTGGCTTTGCTCGTGGCAGTGATGGGTGCCAGAGTAGAAGTTCTGGAAGCAGAACTTCTTGCCAGCCGCTGAAGTGCTCTCACCACTGCTGTTTGTGGCTTCACCCGTTCAGCCCTGTCCACCCTCTGCTCACAGGACAGCCAGCACTTGCCACTCACCGTCGTCCCATCCACGGCCACATAGACCTTCGACCGGCTGGAGTACACCTCCACATCCAGGACCTTCTTGTTGTTGACAGGGTGCCTGGGGACCTCCACATTCAGCATCTCGTCATCTACAGCAGAGAAATTCAGTTTCAATCAGTCAAGGCACCTCTAGCTTGTCCCTGCTAACCCAGCCAAACCTCCAGAAGGCACCCCAGCCCAAGGAGTCATGGGTTGGAATTTACAGGGATGGTAGGTAAGGGGAATACCAAATGAGAACAGCTCTGGCCTCAGCTGACCCCAGAGATCTCTGCAGCCAAATGTGCTAAAGTCTTCAGTAGACAGACTAGGAAGGGAGCAGCATTTTCTATTAATTTTTGTAAAACCCACATGCATAGACCTGTTTTTTGTGATATAGCTGGTCACAAGTTAGCCCTGACTTAAAGAAACCCTCCTGTTTCGTTTCTTTCAAAGCACACCAAGATGCTGCCCCTCACCATAGTCCTGTGCAGACTCCTCTTCCTCCTCATAAGCAGCTCTCCTGGTGTCCAAGATCAGCTTGATGTTCACAATTACGGTCACAAGCAGGAAGAGGACTGCACCTGTCTGCAATGCAGGATGTTTCGTGTTAGAAATTTGTAAGTAACAATCCCAAATCCAGCCTGCCTTGGCATGGGCTGCAGGGCATCCCAAGGAGATCTTGCATGGGATCACAAACATCTAACATTTCCCCTGATTTTTTCTGAGGAAAGCAAAGAGAAAGAAATACTGGTGACTGAGTTTCATGATGAAATGCATTCTTCAGCTGGAGAGCACTGACTCCTTGACATGTAAGAATTAACCCACCTCCAATGTATCCCTGCTTCCAGATCTGTGAGCAGATTCCTGCTAAATTATTGCATCAAGGTTGAGGGGCCCTGCAGGCAAATAGTTTGGTAATTCAGTTACAGCTCCCAAGGTAACCTTAACTTCTGCCTCTGCTGCAGCATCACTGCTCTCATCTGTCCCTCTGGAACCAGAGGATGCACTCAGGGTATTCAGCAGAGAGGAGATGCTGTGCAGCTGAATCAAACAAAGGGAAGAAGCTGAGGTCTGATTTCAGGAAACTGCACTTTACCACAGGCTGCAGAGACCAGCCTGCAGCTTACTGTCTGCAGCAAACTTCAACTGCAACCCTTGTGGATGCTGACACATTGGGCTTGGGAAGGTCTGGGGGCTGTGGAACAGACCCTTGATTCTCTGAGGTCATTAATGGGGCTGGGATCACACACTGGCCTGTCCTCAGTGAGAGGCAGTAAAAGGATTTCTGCCCTATCTGTCCAGCTCCTGCCTCAAAGCTCCGTGTTGCTGCTACCTCTGCCAAGCAGGTTCAAGGAGTAACTGAGGAAAATGGAAAACCAGCAATAAGGCAACAGGATGGTATAAATGTCGCTATGGCATTTTGGCTTGTTAATTTGCTGTTGACTCAGGACTATGAACACCTTTTGGGATCTGTGCACAGAAAGCTTTTAATTAAGCATGAACAGAGCCATGGGCTCATGGAGAGGCAGCAAGGCCACCTCACCAACCTGCCCAGACCTTCTGCCCTGATCAGCACTGGGGACATGAGGGAACAGACCTGGTGACCAAAGTGAATAAGGCAATTAGGAATAAGAATTAAGCAAGACCAGCAGCCAGATCTAGCAGAGGTGGCTTAGTCAAAGCCAACTGATGAATGCTTGGCTGCTGTAGACCTGGCTATTCCATACCTGCAGCTCTGGGCTACCTATTTTAAGCCAAATTTTCATCTGTGTTTTAAGCAATGCCGTGAAGTACAGAGATGTGTGCAGGCTCTAGCCCATTGCTCCAGCATGGTGAGCAATGCCTGCCTGAATGACCAGACCCATTCCCAAGCCTTGAACACCCTATCAAACACAGAACTGAGCAGTCTTCTTGCCCAGGGAGCCCTCAAAAGCCTTTGTCCTCCCAGGCACATGCAAGGCCCTCTCCTGCTCCCTTCCACAGCACCCAACTGCTAGATCTCATGAGCTCCTCTGAGGAAAGGCCCCTGTTCTGTGTTTTGCTGCCATGAGACCAAATCTTCCTGTCCTTACAACCTCAGGTACCCCCAGGACATTGTCTCCACCAAGGATTAGCTGTTTTACAGCACAAGCAACTAAGCCTGAGGTTTTCCCAGACACCAGCTGCCTCTGGGGCATAAGATCCTATTACCAAGCCCTATTTTCTGTGTCCACCTGTTGTGCCTTATACCAGGCTTGGTTTGCAACTCAAACAACTAAAGGCTGAACCCTGCAGCACTCAGCATGGAGTCAGTCACAGAGCCAGAATGGGAGCAATCAGTTTGTTTCTAGCTAAAAACTTCCCAAGGCCACTTAGATAATTGTATCTCTCATGGCCACTCAACAGGTCTGCTGGCAACTGAAAGGAGCTGCTACACCTGGCAGACCCTTCCACACACAGGCACTTGGAAGCAGCTTCTTGGGGAACAAGTTACGCTTCTTCAGCATGTTAGGTCACCCAGACTGCCAGCAGACATGCTTCCACCCATGCAGCTGCTCCATAAACTTGTAAATCCTGTAGATTATCCTTCCTAATCTACTGCAGGGCCGCGGGTGACTCACCTGACACAGCTTCCGCAGCGCACGCTGGTTCATCAGCTTGTACTTCCAGGCAAGGTACCAGCTCCGCTTCTTGTGGGGCTTCACAGTGGGGTTGGGTTTCCACTCGTCCATCGTCCCGGTGGCCGGCACGGGGGCAGCCGTGTGGGGCGGGGGTCAGGACGTGTGCTGCTCTCCTCTCGTGTCCATCGGGGCTCCCTGCCAGGAGGGGTGAAGGTGACGGAGGTGCCTTCAAACCCTCTCCCCAGTAAAGACAGAGCCTGGCACAAGCATTGGCTGTGGACAGCACTGATGTGCCATGGGCAAAAGCCCTTTGGAGCCTCCCTGCCTGCCGGAACTCCCACTGGGAGCAATGCAGGAGGCCAGGCTTTGCTGCAGAGTGAGGGGAAGCCCCTGAACCCATCGGACAGTGACTGCCTCTGCTCCAGGCCAACCCCTCAGCGAGGCTGCTGCAGTGCCACGGGCCCGCTCCCACGCTCTGGGAAAGAGCAGCAGCCCAAAGTCACAAGCAGACAATAAATCCCGGACCATCGATTGTTATGGAATGGGCCATCATTGGCCATATGTGCCAGCGGGGTCCTTGTGGAGAGACGTGCTCCCCGCTAACAGCCCCGTTCCCGCTATCGGGGTGCAGCCAGCCGGACACGGGGAGCAGCACCGGGCCAGCGTCCCGCTGGAACTCCGGGCACCCCGGGCAGAGGAGCTGTGCCAGCGGGAGGCCGGGCGCCCTGCGGGGAGCAAAGCGCTGGGCCTGGGCGGGATGTGGAGCCCCGGCAGAGCCAGGGACCTGTCCGGAGCACAGCGTGCCCCAGCAAGGCCAGGCAGGGCGGGGAGAGGGGCGCCGAGGGGCCCGGAGGCACTCTGGGGGAGGAGGTGGCGAAGGGCACCCAGGCGCTCCGGGCGGGGCGGGAGAGGCGGGTGTCTGAGGGCGGCAACGAGCGGCGGCGGGGAGAGGGGGACCCAGGCGCTTCGGGACCGCGGGGAGTCCGGGGAGGGCCGGAAGGCGTGTGCCGGCCGCGTTACTCACGGGGAAGCTGAGGCGGGGCGGGCGGGGCGGGCAGGGCCGGTCCCGGCTCGGCGCTGCCGCCGCCGCCCCGAGCACCCTCCGCGCCGCTTCCGGCGCCGCAGCGACACCGCGGGGGCGCGGCCGGCGCTGGCCCCGCCCCCGGCCCCGCCCCGCGCCGCTCCGCGCGCCCCGGCGGACCTCGCTGGTGCGCGGGCAGGTGGCGGCGGAGGCGGGGCCGCGGCGGGGGCGGGGCCGAGCTCGGGCCGCGGTGACAGCGCGGCCGCCGCTGCCCCACCCGCATGGAGGGCGGCGGGGAGGCGCTGCCCGCGGACCTGCGGGACCTGGCGGGCAAGGTGGGACGGCGCCCGCCCGCCGTGCTGCTGCGGGGGCTGCGGGCCGACACCGCCCCCGCGCCGCCCGCGCCGCCCGCGCCGCCCGCGACACCCGCACCGGCCCGCGCTGCCCATCCGCCGCTCGCCGAACGCCTCCGGACCCTCCGCCTCGAGCTGGTGAGTGCCGCGGTACCGGGAGCGCTGCCGGCCGCCCCCCGGTAACTGACCGTCCCGACCCGCAGCCATCTCGGGCGGCCGCTTGCCACCCCCGGTGACGGTCCCGGATAGTGCCCGCGCTCTGCCCGCATTTTGGCGAACCCCTTTGCTCCTCCGAGTAGGGGTTAACAGGCCCCGGCTCGTAATGCCGCTCTCTGCCCCCGACCCACGCAGCATCCACCCCCCGGGGTCCCCCTCGGCCACCTCCGTCCTGCCCCCCTCGCACCCCCGGACGCCGGCTCCGTCGGGGATCGTGGTGTCCGAGATCAGAATTAAGGGCAGGGACCTTCGCCAAGGGCATGGCGGTGGATCTTCTCTCCCCCGGGTGTGACCCCCAGGGTGACAAGGCACAGGCATCGCTGGGAGCTTTCCCGAGGTTCGGTTCCTGCGGGGGCTTCTCGGGTGGCTCGTAAAGGGCTGTGCTGCGGTGGCAGCCTTGCCCGGGGACCGGGGGACTGCCGATGGCAGCTCTCTCGCCTCCGTCTTTCGTGGAGGGAGCAAATACCGGCGATGCTTGCGCCTCCGGGAAACGTGGCGAGGTTGGGCAATGGGTTCAAGTGCAGCTGGGGGAAGGGACTCTCCCACGCATGAACATGCCGAGCGGGTGGGAAATGAGCGTTGTTTCCATAGGGAAACGGGCTAAATTCGCCCGCATCCCCGCATGCCCCCTGCGGGCTGGAGCGCCACCCAGCCTGAGCCCTCCGCTTTGGCTGATTCAGTATTCCCATCGGTGCAGGAGCTTTCATCCTCCCTCTGCTTTCATCCTCCCTCCGCACCGGCTTGCAGGCTGCACCCTGACCGGAGGAGAAAGGTCTCTGGGGCAGTGCGGTGTTTGCCCTGCCCAGGTGCAAGCAGCCTCAGCCTATGGCCAGCCAAGGCCTGGCTTGGGCCGGGCATTATTCACCTTGGCTCAGAAAGACATTTCCTTGCCCTGCCCTGACTCTTCTTGCTGCCCGGTGAGGAAGCGGGGACACCTCACACCCAGAGCAGCAGCTTGAGATTGGAATGCAGGTGCCAAAACCCAGCGCAGGGCTCCCCTCATCTCCCCATCCCCAAGAGCAGGGAGCAGAATTTTCCCCCCTGCCCCAAGCAGCAGGAAACCAGCAAACCCAATGCTCAGAGGATAAGCTGGCCTGGGAGTGGGCGGTGGGAGGAGAGTTTAGCAAATTCCCACTCTCGCCTCCTGATCTGAGGAGGAAGATTTATGCCTAGAGCAAGATATCTTGAAAGGAGAAGGCGCCTGAGATTTCTCAGTGCTGGGGAGGGGAGCAGGGCTGTATCTGCCCATGGAGAGCCTGAGGAGGAGTGTGACAGTCCTCTGTACAGCTGTCCTTGGTGCGAGGTCGTGCAGTGAACTTCAGTGCATCTGGAGGAGTAATAGAGAGCAGCCTGCGCTGAGTCTCCTCCCACAGTACTTGACTTGCTGGAGAGGGGGTTTCTTGGAGTGCAATGGGGAGGTCAGGCTGGCGTGAACTAGCAGCAAATTGATGGGTAACTCTTTCCAGCAAGCAGCGTGGAAAGCAGGGAGTGTTATCCCACCCTCTGCTTTTGGGTTGGCTCCCCTGGCATCTCTGACAGCTGCAGTTCTGCACGAGGCAGAGAAAAATGGGGAACCCCCCACCAGGGGTTTCCAGCCCTCCTCCTCCTTCGTCATCTCCCTGCCAAGGCCAGATGCTTTAGCAGTGCGTGCAGAAAAGTCCATTGTAGGCAGTTTTTAAAATAACTTGCCTAGAAAGGAAATTTCTGCACTTGGAAGCTGGCTCCTGCCCCAATCCGGGTACATCCCTGCTATTTTTTATCTAAATCCAGCTTTAGGAGCCTGAGGAGGGGATGGGAGGGCTGGTGTTGTGTCTTTACAAATCTTTGACCCTTTTTTTTTTCTGTCGTCTGGAGTGAGAGGTGTCACATGCTGAAATCCTGGCTGGAGTTTTCCCAGGCTCCTTCCTCAGATGCTTCTATGGCTGTGCTGGTTGTGGGACCGGAGACAGGGGTCTCAGGAGACTGTGGGGTCACCCGTGGGCGGGCAAGTGACTCTCCAGGGCACCGGATGCTGAGGATCGGGCGCTGTGCTTAAAAATGATCCCTGGGGAGCGCATGGATTTCTGTCACAGCTTGCTGATGCTGGGCACAGGATGTGTTTGTGAAGGAGTCCGTGGGCATCTGCAGCCCACAGGATGCCTGTACGTGCCTTGCAGTGGGTTTTCTCCCTTTCCCCCCATCGTGGCCTTATTTCCTTTCCTGGCAAAATATTTGCGTCCTGTGTAGGGGAAATCCAGTGGCTTTTGGCGGCCAGTATCATACAGACAGGAATGTCTTGGCACACGGGGCTTTCCATTAGGAAAACAGATGTTTCTGCAGCAACTGAGGTTTGTGAAGAGCTTCCCCAGGCTCGGAGGGACAGGAGTCGATGAAGCGAGTGGTGTGATCAGCAATGCCTGTCCTCCTTGTCCTCCCATTTGGGAAATGATTTGCGTCTCCAAATCCTGCCATATGACATTGGCACCAGGCTTGGTTCAAACCCTAGAAGGTGACAAGTTAAAGGCATGAAGGGACCAGCCTGGGGAAGTGCTGGTGGTCCAGCCAGACACTTGCACTGAGCAATGCCTGACCCTCTTGCACTGCCAGCAGTCTCCCAGGTCTTGGAGGATGCTCTGGGATCAGGTCTGCATCCAGTACCTCCAGTTCCTTGCTTCCTCCTTGTTCCCATAGAAAACAGGAACACAAGTGCCCTGGATTTATTTCCCTGAGGGGGTTGGTGGCTGGTGGAACCGTAAGTTGCTGGTCGCTGATGGCCGTGTCCTCAGGTCTTGGACAGGGTCCCCCTGGGATAGTTCCCTGCGGGATGTTGTTCCATACCATGCTCTTCATCAAGCAGTTTAGGAGACCTGTGGCCAGCACAGTGACACCTCTGCTGGGCTGGGCTGAGACATGGGGCCCCTGGATCACCTCAACCCCCCTGTGCTCTCTGTCTCTCCCCCAGGCTTACCTGCGAGCGGTGGACGTGAAGATCCTGCAGCAGCTGGTGGTGGTGAACGAGGGCATCGAGGCGGTGAAGTGGCTGCTGGAGGAGCGGAGCACCCTGACCAGCCGCTGCAGCAGCCTGGCCAGCAGCCAGTACAGCCTGGTGGAGAGCCAGGAGGCCTCACGGCGGGGCAGCTGGGACAGCCTGCAGGACCCCAACGACAGGCTGGACAGCATCTCCGTTGGCAGCTACCTGGACACCTTGGCTGATGACATGGATGAGTACTCCCACAACGCTGCTGAAACCGCCGCTGCGTCCACATCGGGCAGAGCCCTGCCCAGGGCAGAGCAGGATTGGGTCAGGATCGACCCCGAGAGGGGTCTTGCAAAGCAAGAGAAGGACAAAGAGGAGCACGAGTGGCCCCACGTGGACCTCTCCCCACCTGGGCTGCCCCAGGATCACCGGTTTGATAAGGAGCCCCAGGTGGCCAATGGGTATTTGGGGCAGCAGTCCCCCTCTCTGGAACCAGATAGAGACACCAAATCGCCACCAGGGACCGGGGAGAGGCTGGGGAAGGGAAATCCAGATGGGAAGGCTTGGAAAGCTGAGGCTGACCTTGAGAACTGCAAACTCAACAGCAAACTGCACCTGGAGTACGATGCCCACTGGCGCTGGCTCCAGTCACAGGATGATGTGACATTCTTATAGCCCGTGGCTTTGCCTTCCCAGTCCAGCTCTCCCAGCTGCCCACTCTGCTTCACTTGTCTGTGCCTGGGAGAGTTGGGATGGCTGGAGAGGGGGGGCCAGGCTAGCTTGGTGGTGTTGCACTGTTCCTCTGATGGTCCCAACAGCATTTGATGACACAGCCATAGGGGACTGGTTGCCTGCCCTGCAGCACATTTCTGGGAGAGGAGGGATGAGGTGATTCCTGGTAGATCTAATCCTTTGCTCTAGGGTGTTGCTTGCAGGTGGCTGGACACCCCTCTGTTGTCTTTGGTGGTGGTGGTGGTAGGGAAACCTGGGACAGTGGTGTTCCTGGGATCTCTCCCTCTAATCCTCAGCTTCCTGTGTGCAAAAACTGGGGATCCTTCACCCAAAATTACTACCCTGAGAGGGCAAGGAGGCACTACCATGCATCCACAGCTTGGTGGCACCAGCATGCTCAGTGTGGGGCAGGACCATCAGCAGGGCATCCCTGTTGGATCTGCTCATTTCCATCATTGTCTTCAAGGCCAGTGTCCATCCAGGGCAGAGCAGACCTAGGGTTTGGCCCCAGCACATGATGAATGCTAAAAAACCTTTCCCTGTGGGTGAAGCCCTGCCTGGTTTAGATGCCTCTGTGAAGCCAATCTGAGGTGGGGCTGGGGAGCCTCTGTCCGTGCCCTGCAGAGGAAGGATGGTGGTGCAGACTTCCCGACGTGATGACATGAGAACGACGAAGCACTGGGTGGGAAATGGAAATCCAATTCTCCCCGTTTGTTCCTGGACTGTCCTCCACCTTGGGAGCAGTCCTGCAGAATTCCTGGGATGTGGCAGCGCACGGGCAGCCT